AAAGGGAAGGAGGCCTGTCCCAAGGCACACAGCAATGAGGCCCACCTAAACCCATCTCCTGTCATCCAACATCCTGGGAGCAGGTCAGGGCTGTCCACGTGGCCACCATTTGCCCAGATGGTAGGGATGAGGGGTGCTCCAAAGGTGAGGGTCCCCAGGGGCTGCCAGGCTTTGGGAAGGGTTCCTGAAGGAGGCAGGGTTCCACTGAGCCTGCATGAATGGCTAGCTGTGGGCAGGAGAGAAGCAGGGCGGGCCAAGCAGAGGTGCCAGAGGGAATGGGCTGTGTTTGGGAATTGGGCCTGAGTTCCATTCCGTCATTCCCTAACCCGGTGGCCCTGAGACAGTCTCTCATTCTCTCAGGCCCCAGGTTCCCCCTCCATAACACAGAGACCCCGTGGGTTAGCGGCAGGGACATGGAATGTGGCATGAACCGTGGTATGCGGGGCCGGGGCAGTGGGGGGCGGAGTATGGGCAGCGCCACCTGGAGGGTCCTGCGTCTGCCTCGCCTGCTGCCGCCTCTAGTGCGAGGGCTTTCGATGCTGCTCAGGAGAGTCCCTATCGCCGTCAATAGCACAGGGGCCTGGCGTGGCTATGGGGCCAGCTGAAAGGGTAGTTTCTGAGGACTACCAGGTCACCCCCACTTCCCTAGGGCCCATGGTTCATCTAGCCTCCACAATGCCTCCCAACCCCAGGCGGTGGTGTCACTTCCACCTTGCAGATGAAATGACTGAGAGCCAGAGACGGGGAGGAAATGCCTGTGCCCAGGGCCAGGGCTGGTCCACCTGACCCCGAGAACCACACTCCGCCACGGTTTTACAGGCCAGCCCTGGGACCTTGCCGGGTTTTGCCAGGTCACCCCTGAGCCCCCTGGGGATGAGCAGTCCTTCCTGATGAGGGAGGCAGTGCAGGGTACAGCCTCGTGCACCCCTACTTCCCCACCCAGTGGTTGCCAGCACCCTACTCTCCCCACCCCTCCTCTCCTGAGTCAGTCTCAGCCCTTCTCTTCAGGACCGTCTCACCAGCCTCCTCCCGGGCCTCCTGGCCTCCGGATTCTCTCTGTGATCCCTCCTCCTTCCTGACCCCAAAGTGCCCAGATACCTCCATGGCTTGCATCTCCACTGGCTCCTTACTGCCAAGACAGGAAACCTGAGCCCAGGCATCTATCTACACAGGGGGCTGCCTTCCCCCACCAGAGGGGAGCTGCCTGGAGAGATGCTGAGGCCCAGGGACTAAGCTCGCCTTCCCTGGGAGAAGATGCTGCCTCTCCCGGAGCAGGGCCTAAACAATTTAAAAGTTTGGCTTTCTGTCTTAGAGGAGACGCTTGCACAGGTCCAGGCCATGAGGCTGGTCGGTAACTGTGAAGGGGAACAAACGCAGGCCGGAACAAGGAGAGAGGTGGAGGGGCTTCGCACCTGGCGAGGGGCTCACCCTGAGGTCTGGGGGGCAAGAAGCTGGGGCTCATTCTGGGCTCTGAGATGCCAGGATGAATGAGTGAGTTATGGGCCGGCCCACCCAGTGTCAGGCCCCCATCCTTGGGAAAACCTCCTTGCATCCAGCAGAGAGATAATGGAGAGCAGAGTATGGGCGTTTGGGGGTGAGGCCAGGCAGCTGTCGGCTCTCCCCACTGAATCACTTGGGGCGGCTCGAGGAGCTCCAGAGCACCTAGGGGGGCAATAAAACAGGAGAACAATCCACCCCACGAAAGAAGTGGACCAGTACAGGGCAGCCACTTCCCCTGGTACAAACGGGTGACTGGGGCCTGGGGGCTGGGGCTGGAGGGGGGCTACACGGAGGCAAACGAGGGTCGCTGAGGGCTGAGCACATACTCAGGAGAGGGCTGTTCATCCTTGCCGCACCCTCTGAGGCAGGGCAAATGTCCACCATCACTAAGGCTCAGAGAGGTTAAGTGACTCCCCCAAGTCCATAGAGCCAGGAAGGGGCAGAGCAGAGATTCAAATCTGGGCTCTGATGGACCCACATTCTGTGCTTTGCTGAGAGAACAACAGCCTGTTCTCTGTTGCCGAAATGGTAAGAGCCCTTTGCTGGAAACTTTCCCAAATGGGGGAACAGACAGCGCAGAGGCTGGATTCTCTTCCTGGAGAGTTCTGCCGAGGGTGGGGGTGCAGTGGGGGGACAGACCACAAAGTCAAAGGCAGAAAAAGGCAGTCAATAGACCCAGGATGTGTGCAGCCAGGGCCCCTCTGTCCAGGCAGTGCCGCACCTACAGACACTGTCTGCAGGCCCGTGAGGGTAGCAGTAGGGGGGGACACAGCCTCTGTGGTAGGTGACCCATCCAATGGCTACCCTAAAGGACAGAGCCAGGCCTAGAATCCAGGGACTGCAAGGGAAGCACCTTCTCTGGAAGTGGTGCTGGCAGCTCCCGGTGCAGGCGAGTTCCTGCTATAAATACGATGTTGACTGCAGTAATCTTAGCCTCCAGGCTCCCCCTGCCCAGGCGCGGGGCCATAAATCCTGCAGCTGACTGCCTGCCACTGGGTTCCTGCTCTGCGGAATTTTCCTGACACTCTAACAAGGTACCACATTTTTTTATAGGCTCCGAACTACTGGAGGCAATGTTGAACAAGCCGTCTCCAAAATAAGAAGGGCCCAATGAGATGGCTGGCCCCTGGGTCAGGTGAGTAGGGTGGGGCTTTCTGGATGGCACACCTAATGTGGGTTTTGTGTAGACAGGGTCTGGGGAGCTGGGTTCAAATCCCACCTCCACCACTTAACAGCTGGGCCACATTGGGCAGGTCTGTTTGCCTCTCTGAGCTCGTTTCCTTAGCTAGGCTGTGGAGTTTGTGTCACCCTGTCCAGGATCAGATAATGTGTCCAAAATGACCAGGACACAGGACACAGCAGGTAACTTGGCCCCTTCGCTTTCCTCTTTGAGTCACAGCTCATTTATTGAAGAATAAATTGGTTGACAAAAAAACCCAGCTATGTCAACTAACCACAAGTGTGGCATTATTCTAAGTGTGTTACATGCTTTCGGTCACTTAATCTCACTGGAACTTGAGGAGCTAATGTCCTGTCACCATCCCCATTTAACAGATGAGCAAACAGAGGCACAATACCCTTGAGTAATAACTCCAAAGTCACTCAGGTTGTAGGTGGAGCCCTGAGAACTTTCCCCACTGTGAACACAGGCTCCAGGGGCTGGTAACCACAACCAGGTAGAAATACTTCACTGCATCCTCCTCAGCCCAGTCACTACTGCACGGTAGGAATCCTAGAAAGACTTGAACTTCATACAGCTCACTCCAAGAGACACCCTATAAACATGTGTGCCCCTGCACCCAGGCGCTGTCTCTCTTCCCACCAACCAGAGTCCGTCGCGAGCCCAGGACATCAGAGACTGAAGACCATCACACAATATTGTACAGGCAGGAAGCCAAACCTCAAGCTCGCCCAGGGTGACCTGCCATCCCAGACGACCCTCTCCTAAACAGTGAAGGGACAGTGAGGGCTGTGTCTCCTCCAAGCCTCCTGGTCACACACACACACACACACACACACACACACACACACACAAACACACTCAAACACACTCAGCACCCATTCCATCTTCTAGACAGGCTAAATATTGTCCTGGCCTTCCTGAAATACCCAACTCCATGCGGGTGGTTTTACAAGCTGCTAAAAGCCAGGTCGTGTCCCTGGTGGAGAGACAGAGCTATTCCGGGTTTGTGTCAGGTGTGGGCAGAGCCAGCCAGAAAGGGCCTGTCTGCTGCCCCCACCAAAACTGGCTCCTCGGCCTTCATAGCCACGGCGGACAATCCCTGGCAGCCAGTGCCACCGGCGCCTGAGGGAGAGGGTGCGGTCAGGCCAGTTTGGTAGGTGTGCTCCCCACAGCACACACACACATGCACACGCATATACTCGGTCCCAAATGTGACTTGGCCAGGCCCAGGTGTTGGGACTGTCCATCAGACACCGTACAGGGTGGGGCCGCACCACCATCACCCACAACCCAACCAGGGACCCCCTGGGGCAGCTTACTGTGCCCACAATTCTCCACAGGTGCCCTCAGCAGATGAGGAATCCAGGGACCACATGCAGGGACGCCTCCACCCGGGAAGGTGCCACTGAGTGTTCCCCACACACCTGAGAGTGCTGAGAGAGGCTCGTGCACATAATTACATTTAATCCCCACAACCACATGTGGGTTACATCAGCACTCTCCTTTTCCACCTGGGGACACTGAGGCTTAGCGCAGTTAAGCCATGCACTCAAGGTCACCCAACCTGGAAGTGAAAGAATTGGGATTTGAACCTGGGCAGCTCGACTCCACAGTCCCTGGTGTGGCCCCTGGATCAAGCTTTCACCAGCCTCTGTCCCACCCCAGGCCAGCTCAGGGGGATGCCCACATCAGAGCTCATCTGCAACTAGAAGGAGCCAGGGGCAGCCAGCCAGGGCCCTGGGCAGCCAGTCCCCACTGAAGTCCCTCCCTCCAGGGAGGGCAGAGGGCCTCTGGGCAGCCCTGGTGTCTGACCACCCATCCACCCGCCGGCATCCCTGGCCATGTCCAGACTAGAACTGGCAGCCCATGTGCAGGCGGACCAGGGGCTCACACTTGCCAGGGGCCTCAGGTCTCTGGGGACTCCGATGGAAGCTGTGGGCTTCCCGCCCCGGATGAATGCTCACACAGGCTCGGAGCAGTTCCAGGGCCATGATGCCCTGAGCCCACTAGGGGTCCAGGCCCAGGGCAGGCCCCTTACTCCCTGAGGGTCAGCTACTATGGCTGACAGTGAGAGGGCTTTGCAGCAGGCACACAGCTTCCTGCTCTAGCCCCACCGGGAAGCCAGGAGGGCCGCAGAAATTAGCCTGGAAAGTTCAGCTTCTCCCTCCAGGAGCACGGGGCCCCCAGGCCCCAGGACAGGCGGGAGGGGGTCCAGCCCACAGCTGCCTGCAACCTGAGGGGAAGAATGGCCTCAGAGACTAGTGGCCTTGGCTCTGCAACTGGAGCCGTGGCGGGTAAATATAGAGCTGCCACTCACCAGCTGAGGGGCCCTCGCCGTCCGACATGGTGCAGGAGATGGGCGGGCAGCCGGCCACCGGCCTGCAGGGGAGCTCGGAGCCCTCAGCAGCCTTCACGCACCTGGTGGGGCTCAGGGCTGCCGGCTCTGCTGCGTGTCCAGTCCCCAGGCAGCTTCCCGCCCTCCTGGCCAGGCCACCCCCGCCACCCCCCATCCTGGGCTGGGCAGATAAGAACGTGCTCCCGTGCCAAGAGCCCATGCGATTGGTGGATAAATCTGGGCACTGCCCTCCCCTGCCTGGGGCCTCTCCCAGGCAGCCTCGGAATGTTCCCTGAGAAACTGCTGCACCCCCGGGTGCTTGGTTAGTCCCCAAGACTCCAGCCCCAGACCTGGGAACCCCAGAATGCCTGTACACTCTCTCCCAGGGACGGTTCCACTGGCCAGTGGGGGGCGTGTTTGGGCACTGGAGAATGACCACGGGGAATGCCACCTGCTGAGTGTGTGCTGGGTGCAGGCGCGCTGACTGCTGCCACGCTGGTCACCTCCCTCACTCTCCAGAGCAGCCAGGACCACTTAGGGCCACCTGGCCAGCGGGGGGTGCGACTCAAGCAGGGCGCTGGAAACAGGCTGTCTGTCCCCAAGGCTACGGGAAAGCATGGCCCTCGCCTTTGACTGTTTGGCAGACCAGGGCAACAAGACTAATTGCTACCGGGGTGCTGAGGGGACCAAGGGGGGATTGGAGATGGACGCCCTGGGGGCAGCCGTGTGACTCTGTGTCTGGCACAGAGTGGGTGTTCAGGGAATACTGGCTAGGAGAACACCCCGAGAAGGCCCTTGGTATGCACTTGCTGTGTGCTTGCCCAAGAGCCACCCAGGCCCTCTCCAGGTCTGCACCAGGGCCAGGCGAGAGACCAGGGCAGTGAGACAAGTGGAGGTCTCTGGCCTGAGTTCCCAGAGGCGTCAGCCAGGGCTGGGCTCCACCGAGCCCCTGGGCCTTAAGGTCTACAACAGGTGCACAGAGGGCGTGACGTGGCCTAAAGAGAAGAGAGAGCAGCTGGTTATCCACCCCAATCAGAGAGATAGGGGGGGACTTCCTTGAAGAGCGAGGGTTTGAGTGACGTCTTTAAGGGCTAAGAAAGTGTTTTCAGGGGAAGGGAGAGTATTCCAGGAAGGTAGACAGCAGGTACAGAGGTAAACGGTGGGAAGGCTCAGCTGGAGAGCAGCAGGACTCCGTCCCTGGCGGGGGCGGGAGGTGCTGATGATCCCAAGGAGAGAAGGCTGATGCTTGTGGAAGGGGAGGCATCCAGGGCTGGGGATGTCAGGGAGGCTTCCTGGAGGAAGGGGCAGCTGCTGGTGCTGAAGGGTCCATGAGCCTCAGAAAAATAAGACGGGATGGAATGGCATTCTGAGGCATCCGGCTCTCTTCCATTGGCACTGAGGCCTTTCCAGCTCCGATGCCTGGGGGACTGAAGGCAGGAGGAGCCAGGCCCCCACGCTGCCAAAGGCACGTCCCTTCCGAGATGGGTGGGGTATTGCTGCAGAGTCACTCAGACTCTCAGGGAGAATGGCAAGGGAGTCCATGCCTGGTGGGGCGGTTCTGGGCCTCCTGGCCTTCGCCTAGGCTGTTCTCTTGGTCGGGAGTTCCCTGTCCTCCCCCATCTCTGGGAAGCCTTGTCTGACTGCCCCTGAAGGAGGGCCAGGGCCCATGCCCTCTGCTCCACAAGCTACGAGCTCACTGGGGTCAGTGCCTGGTCTTGGCTGTGTCCATCTCTTGGTTGGCTCTTTGCTGCATGGCAATGAGCTCACCGTCACTGGAGGTGTGTAATAGGGCTGGACACCCATGTGGTGAGGGCACAGTGAGAGAGTTCAAGCACCAGCTAGGGTCAGGTTAAAAGGCTTTGGGTCCCTGTAGGGTGAGCACCTTGTCCTGGTTTCCTTGGGCCTTAGCCTGTTTTAGCCCTGCAAGTCCTGCATTCATCCCAGGGGCCATCAGTCCCAGGCAAACAGGACTGTTGGTCATCCTGGGTCCCTCCTGAGATTTTTGTTTTAAGTGAGAGAAGGAGAGATAAATACAAAACAAGGCTGAGTCCCTCTCTGGACCCCTAGGACCCACCCCCTATCCCATAAATTCTCTCGTCCCTCCCCTCCTGCTAAACCAAGTCCAGGACAGCCCTCCGGGAGTGACGGGGACCCAGCTGTGGGAGGGGGGAGAATCATTAGGCCAGCCAGGAGGAGGCGCTCCTGAGGCCTCTCACTGCAAAGTCGGGAGGAGCCCTCCCTGCTGGGTTTGCGGGTGAACTGAGATAGTGCCGCAGCAGCAGGTCAGCACCAGTGGCTCTGTATCCCCAGGGAGGGGGGGACCGGGCAGGGGGGCCCGGAGCCCACCTGCCCAGCACCCACCCAACCCCTGAGCTGCTGTGGGAGGGGATGTTTGGGGTCAGGCCTGCTTGGCTGTGTGCCCTTGGGCAGGTTGTGAACCCTCTCTGGGCCTCTGTTTCCACATAGGTAGAGCATTTGTGAGCACCTGTGTACCTGCACCTTGGCCAGTCTTGGGGGCAGGACAAATCCCCCAGAGTCCTTGCCATCAGGCGTAGGGCTTGGGTGTTTGTCTCCTGCCGTGCCTGCCCTGGGTCCCCGGGGCTGGGCTGGGAGGCAGAGGAGCACACCGCGGGGCTCACCTCAGGGCACCCCCTGGGACTGCCAGAGTCCAGCCCAGGGTGCCCAGGTGTGACCAGGGGTGGACAGACAGCAGGGCTGCAGAAAGAGCCCCACCAAGCCACCTGGGGTCCCAGACAGGGGCCCTCGCCCTGGCCACCGCAGGCTGCAGGACCAGGGCCGGGAAGAGCGTGGTGGTGTCAGATGGGCCTGGTGTGGGATGGCTGACGCCAGCTCCACCAGCCCTCCTTGGTGCTGGGAAAAACAGACAGCAGCCTCAGTTTCTCGCCTGGAAATGAGGGGAGTGACGCCTGCAGGGCTGCTGTGACGATGGGCACCAGGGCCCAGACGCCCTGGAGGGCACCCCACCACCCGACCCCACAGCCATCTGTCTGTCTGTTCCTGAGTCCCACCCAAACAGGCCACCCAGCGTCCACCCAGCTGGAGCCGGCTCCCTGGGCGCAGGCCACTTCCCCTTCCTGTCCCTGGCCCCAAGTCCCTTCCTGTTTTCTTTATTGTGGGAACATCTGTTGGGGAAAAAACAACTCGATTCCTCTGCTCCTGAGGTCAGTGCAGCAGCTATGGACCCTCCGTGTGTGTGTGCAAAAGTGTGCAAACACGTGTGTGCCAATGTGGTGGGTGTGCACATGTGTGTGTGGGTGTTTGTACACATGAGCATGTATGTGACAAGGTACGTGAGTGTGCACCCATGTGCATGGGAGCATGTGTGTATGGGTTGGGGACTGTGTGTGAGAATGTGCATATTCCCATGTAAGTGTGTATGTGTATGAGCAGGGGATGTGTATAATGTGTGTGTAAGTGCACACAGGGCATGAGTGTGTGCCCACGTGAGCATGTGTGCATGAGTAGGAGCATATATGGGGGGCAAGTGTGTAGGGGGTGTGCACACATGCACAAGTGCCCTCTGGCTCCTGTGAGCTCACCCATGGCTCTGACTCTCCAGCCAGCCATTTGTGTCCCTATCGTGAAGCAGTGCCCATTGGTCCCTGGGGGCTCATGCCAAGTGTCTGACACCATCTTCAACTAGTTAGTGGGCACTCATGATGGGCAGCGCCACCAGTGTGTGAGTGAGCTGTGGCACAGTTCCCGGGTCGCAGGCTCGTCGGGGGAGGTGGGGGAAGGGCGGGGCGAGCGGCTGGCGAGGGGCGATGGTCAGGGAGGATGTGTCTGGGCAGTCCTGCGAGCAGAGACCTGAGGGGCGAGCTGGGTGCCCAGGCAGGAATGGGCTCAGGGGCAGGCAGAGAAGAGGGCCAGTGAGGATCCGGTGCTTCCGACTGGACAGGGGAGGAGATCCGGGGAGAGGGGCCTTGGCGGGCTGCAGGAGCTGGGACTCGGCTCGCAGGGAACAGGGCAGGTGGCGCATGTTCTGGATGTCCGTGGCGCCAGAGCTGGGCCCTTCCTCGGCACCATCTTCTCCCCTGGTCTGGAGAAGTGCTGGCCCCTGAGTCCCCGCCCTGCTCAGCAGTCTCTGACCCTGGGGAGGGAAGTGTCCCAGGAGGGCTGGAGGGTCCCGGCAGCCTGACGAAAGGTGGGAGGGGCGTCCCAGTGTGGAGGGTCAGGGAGGGGGCCTGCTTCCTGCTCTCTGGCACCTGTTCACCCCACATCACTGGGATCCCAGCTGAGTGTCAGAGGGCCTCGCACTTCCTCCCAGTTGGACGCCCAGCTTCCTCGGCCTTGGTCTCCCCCACCAATAGAGGCAAGAACGTTTTGAACAAGGATCCTCACCAGGGGCCTTGGTGGCCATGACCTGAAAACGGACTACAGATGCCCACACGAGAGGGACCCACGCCTTCTGGGTGGGTGCCCCTGCGCAGGCCACCTGACTGTGCGGATGTGGGGTGAGGATGGAGTGCCCGATGTGCAGCGAGGGCCTGGCCCTGGTGGGCTTGGATGGCTGCCCCGGTCCATCCCTGCCTGCGGTCAGAGCCCATGCCTCCGTACAGCCAGGTCACGGCAGACACACACCCAGACACCCGCAGCCTGAGGCGCACAGACATGGACACAGACCCATACACACAGCCTCACACACGAGAGGAGGATGCAGTGACAGGGAGGGCACAGCGCGGCTCTGGCACCTGGTGTCCCTCCCACAGCCAGGGGCTCCGTCCAGCCCACACACCCTGAGTGACAGCCGCCTGGGTGGCCTTGAGCAAGTCTCTCAGCCTCCAGGCTTCCAGCCAGGAGAGAAGCCGGAGAGACCTGTCCTGCTGCGCTGGGAGTCCACTCCCCTCACCTTTGCAGGGGGAGGCAAGGAGCTGCTGTCATTTGGTGTGTGTATGAGGGGTGGGGGTGGCCGGGGGACATGGAGCTGGTGGGAGCTCAGGCCTCCTCCTCAGGCTTCCAGGCTCAGATAGGGCGAGGCCCCTGGGGACAATGAGGCCCTCCTGGGGCCTCGTCTGTAGAAAGGGCTGGGTTACAGCACAGCTGGACCGGTGCTGGCCCTGTACGTGGTGCTCATGGGGGAGCTGGCACTGCCGTCAGCATCATAGGGTCTATCATCACAGACTCTGCCTTGCCCAGGGTCCCAGGGCCATCCGGAGGGCTTGGATGAGGGCTGTACCTGTGGGCCGGGGATGGAGGAACCCTGCCACAGGTGCTGCACCCCAAAAGCCAAACCAGCAGAGGACGTGGGCCCAAGAAGAGGGAGTGTGGAGGTAGACAAGTCCTTTGTGCCTGCCGGCCCAGCATTGACCCTGGGACCCTTCACACCCAACCTGGGAGGCCACACTTCTGCAGGAAAGGCCCCAGGGCCTCGCTGTCCTGAGGTCTGTGGAGCCTCTTCCAGGGCAAGCCTGGGAGGGGGACACAGCAAGGAGGGCGCTGCCAGTGAGCAGGGCCCAGTGGGAGGCTCAGGGCCTCCTCTGGGACCCACTCTCTGGAGATCCATCCCCCGTGGGGACCGCCAGACTTGCTTTGCCTACCAGGGCTGCCTCCTACTGGAGGTGACCACGCTCTGGCTGGCCCAGGGCCCGGCCCGCCAGCAGGGGCTGCCTAAGAGCAGGAGAGGCCGTGTTCTGGGAGAAGTGAGTGTTTCTAAGGCTTAAAGCCAAGGAAGGGCCTTGACTGCATCTGTCCCCACCCCAGCCCTGATTCAGAGAACTGACCTTTGGTGAGTAAGTCCCCCCCAACCTGCCAGAAATACCCCCAGCCTCTGCCCCCTCCCCCGGCTAGGGTTATTTTTGGCTGTCTAGGCAGAGCTGCCCTAGGCTGTCTGGAGCCCAGGGCTGAGGTCTGGGGAGGCATGTGGATTTAGGAGTCACCCACCCCGGGGGGCTGAGAACCTCCTTTGGGTTACACACTCTTCAGGAAGCCAGCTTATGATGCAGGATTCTTGCCCCAGAGGAAAGCAAACATGTATGCGGAGGAGACAAAGTTCGGGAAGAGCCACTGGCCTGAGCCCCCTCCTGCCCCTGCCCTGAGGTCCCCTCCAGGTAGCCATCCCTCTCTCATGACACTGTTTCTGGGGTCAACCTGGGCTGGACCTATGTGACTCTGGACTGGTGTAGAGGACACCGAGCCCACGGGGCCGAGACAACCAGGAGGGGCTGAGCCCCACCCAGAACCTTCCACGGTGGGCAGAAAACTGTGGTCCACTGTCCACCACGCTGGCTGCCACTGAGGCCCAGTAGGGCCATCAGGCGACTCCAGAGCCAGCCTGACCACCTGGGCTCAGAGCAAAGAGAAAGAAAGCCTCTCACAGGACCAGGGCCGGGCCAAGAGCTCACCTCTGGCCCAGGTAGGCCAAGGCTCCCAAGGCCACCCCTCAGCCTGGCCGGGGCCCCCCGCCACCCTGGGCGGTCCCCAGCCTCTAGGTCCCCGAAGCCACGGGTGTGGAGGTGGCTTCAGCTCAGCAGAGCAACTGTAAGCGTGGGAGCCGCGGGAGGCCTGCACCCTGGCCATCCTCTGGGCGCTTCTCCCCGGCGGGCCCTTCCTGCCCAGGCTGCCCTGTCCGGGGACACCCTGCTCCGGCCTGCCAGCCTCCCACCCCCAGACCCAGGCCCGCCGCCAGGAGAGGAGAGGGGGGCCGCCGGGCGGTCCCGCACCCTGCCCGCGTGGCACGCCCCTGCGCCCGCACTCCTCCAGACCCTCGCGGCTCCATCTGTGGAGAGGGGCCGGTGGGGACCGCCAGCCCACCCTAACCCCCCTGGTCGGTGTATGCCGCAGGCCACCCGCGCCTGGGCCGGCCGGTCTACACCCTCCCGCCCGGTCCCCCGCCTCCCGGAGGCAGGGCTGCAGCACCTCGGGCCCGTCCCACCCCGGCCCCCGCGCCCACCGCCTCTGGGGAGGCACCGCCCACTAGGCCCGCCACGGGCCCGCGGACCAGAGCGCTGCGTCGGGGCGCCACCGTGTGGCCGTTCCAAGAACTGCACTGCCTGGACTCCCCGGAAGGCCCTTCCTCCCCTGGAGGCAATAATAATAAAGCAGCCCCGCCGGTGACAAGAGTGGCACTGATTATTGACAGGCTCTGCTAAGCACGATCCACGGAGAACGCTCTAGTTCTCCCACCAACCGTGGGATGTGGGTCCTGTTATTTGTCCTCCCTTACTGATGGGGAAACTGAGGCCCAAGCCCCATAACTTGTGACAGGCAGCATAGAATTTGACCTCAGGTCTGGCTGCAGGGTATTGGTCTTAAATCCATCCATCTTGGCTCCTGGGGTTGGCACCAGCCCTGTGCACATTGGGGTGTCCTGTGGAATTTAAAAGAACAGCTTCTGGGCCCCACTCCATAGACTGATCCAGTTGGCCCAGGTGACTCTCTGTGCAGCCAGGCCTGAGAACCACTAGCCACACACACTTGCCATTTTACAAAAGAGGAAATGGCTTGGGAGGGCCAGGGTGGCTGCACTGACCCACAGGCAATGGCAGAGCTGGGCTCGGGGGGTCCCATATGCCTCAGCCCTCCAGCCCTGGGTCTCCAGTGCTCAGAGGCAGGCCCAGGCCTGCAAGGAGAGGAAGGCCGCCAGATGCAGAGGGACACGGGTTTGAGTCCTGTGTCTGCTATGGCCTGGGTGCTGTGGCCCTGACTTTCTTACCTGGAAAATGGGCCATACTCAGGAGGATTTGGAGAAATACTGATGTGAAGGCTCTGGCTCAGCCATGGCCAGATCTTTGCTAAATCAGGGGATGGTAAAAGCAACTTGAAATTTCCATTGGCAGCTGACCCCTCCAGATCCCTGGAGACAATGTGTTTGGGACCGCCTTTGTCTTCTCACATGTTTGTAGGCAGAATGGGAAAGCACCTCCCCCCAGGTCTGAACGCAGCAGGGAAAACACCAGCTTGAGAGCAACCTGTGCCGTCCTTGGAAGTCATCTGCCCACAAAAACATATCTTGTCCTCAAAGACGAGCCAAGACGCCTCACTCTGAAAATAGGGAGACCTTGAGGATGTGTGGAAACACCGCCCCTGCTTACCAGGCAGCTCCTAAGAACATCAACAAGGTACTCTGGCCTGGCCCCGCCGGAGAAGGGAAAGATGAGTACAGCACTTGGCTGAGGTCCGAGAAAGGCAGTATGAAAATAAAGGTGCTGCACCACATCGGGGCTGCAGCCATTGTCTGTCTGTCTGTGTTGTCTGTTTTTTGTTCTCTCATTTCACCCAAAGAAGATGAGCAGCACACTACATCTGGTGCCCAACGTGGGGAGTCCTCTCAAGAGTGAGTTGTACATATATTCAGCTCCACGCCTCCCCTTCAGACTGTTCGACTTCGACGGCAGGCACCGTCAACAATGTCCCTGGAATGCTGAGGTTTGGTGTCCTGGGAACCTTTTGATGGACAATGAAGAAAGTTTTGTCTGCAGGGGGCCAGTCCCAGCCAGGGCAGGAGGCCGGGGAGTGGGGGTGAGGTTGGTGGGGGTAGGCAGTTGGGGGTAGGGTGTGGGGGGCATGGAGTTTGTGGGGTTTAGACTTGGTGTGTGTTTGAAGCTGGTAGGGGTGCTGAGGGAGGCTGGTGAACCTCAGAGAGGCCCCAGAGGGCTGAGGCTGGGGCATGGGTCACAGCAGGACAGGTCCCCAAGAGCAGTGCAGGGCTGAGAGCTCAGGAAGTAGACAAGAGGAGACACTGACATTTGGGTGGCCGTGGCCAGGGGCTGCTTCTGAGCAGGGCTGCGATGAGCGAGGGGTGGGGCTGGACGTGCAGCTGGAGGTGGAGCCCAGGCTCCACGTCCTTGGAGCCCCAGGAGGCTGGGGTGAGGAGGCAGGAGACTGGACGTGGAGAGGGTGAGGGCATAACTTGATGGGGGCGAGCCAAGCACTCTGGTCAGCAAGGAGCTGGGGGAGAAGAGGATCCCTAACTCTGCTAGGACTGCAGCTCCAGAGGCCAACTCTGCCCAAAGGCTCCAGTGAAATTGCTAGTGCTGGTTCCCAGCACCCATCTGGGCTTTGGAGAGGGCCTGGCTGGGGCCCAGTGCCACCCAGGTATAGTGTGCCCGCCTGTGCTAAGTGTGTCACTCCCACCCTAAGTCTTGGTTTCCTCGTCTGCAGAATGGGAAGATCCTCTGGCACTGTCGTCCAAGACCACAGCACGGACTACGGAGGCAACGCACAGCAAGAGCCAGCCCAACTCTGTTCCCTCCCTGGTGTGCACAGGGCACCTTTTGGGGCATGCACCCCAGGCAGTGGACAAGGGCAATTCATTCTCTTTGTAGGAAGACAGGCTCCCAAGAGCTGAAGGAGACATTCAGGGCAGGTCCTTTTTCCTTGGGTGGCCTCAAAGGACACGGCCTGCCTAGTATTTACTGCCCCTTGGGCCACCCCTAGGTCCTGGGGATGACTTTTTCACCCACCCACCCCTGTGAGGGTTATAGTCTCACCGCCTGGGGGTGGGCTCCCTCTGGTAAGGTCAGGAAGGTCAGCACTGAGCCAGCAGGTACAGAGGATGCCAGCAGGCAAGAAGCCAGGCAGCCAGGTATGCAGCAACACCAAGATGCCCTCAAGAGAGGGCCCTGGGGCTCCAGCCTGTGTGTGGCCGCCCGGGGCATGGGTGCCTGGCTAGGAGCAGACAAGGTGGCACAGACTCCAGGTCCCCTGATCCTCTCAAAAGCCCGCCTGTAATCCCAACCTCACGTCACACCAGGAGCATGGTCTTGCATATAACACAAGGAACAGGCTTCAACTGACAGGAAACCTGGCTTCTCTGCCAGGGGGCAGCTTCCAGAACCATGCCAGCCCTCAGAGAGGCTGGCCTCAATGCTGCCCCTATTTTACGGATGAACACTGAGGCCAGCATGCCCTGGCCTGGTCTGGCCATTCACTCATGCAGTCAACACATATTTATTGAGCATCGACTCTTTGCCAGGCCCTGGGTGGGCACAGGGGGCTCAGAGACGCAGCATACACAGACCCTGCCCTGAGGTGCTAGCAGCCTGGCAGAGCAGTCAGTCATGTGGTCACGTCAAGATCATGTCAAGGACACTCACAATACAGTGTGTCAGTGTGGGGTTAGAGGTAGCACAGGTGGCCAAGGGAGCATAGGGGAGGGGCCCCTGGCCCAGCCAGGGGTGGAAGGGAGGGCTTCCTGGTGGAGGTGGCACTTGAAGAGGGCTTTATGAGTGAGCAAGAGTTAGAATGTCTGACAGAGGGAATAGCCTGTGTGGGGAGATGACAGCACATCTGGGTAGCAGCTGGGTGATAGGCAGGGGCCGGCTCAGGAGGTGCAGTGGAATGAGCAGCAGACGAGGAGCTGAGGGCTGTGAAGCAGGCAGTGGTTGCCAGAGGGCCTGCTGGGAGCCAGAGTGAAGGGGCCCCGGGCAGGGGGCAGGGGAGCAGGTGGGCGGCAGTGGGGTTGCAGAGGAGTCCAATCCTGTCCTGGCACCTCAGCAGGATGGGGTTGGGGGTGCAGGCTGCCAGCCCCAGGGGCCCCGGGGCTGCAGGGTGCACAGCACAGGGTCCAGTGGCTTGAGCGTGGCCTGCTCCTGCAGCCAGAAACGCTGCCCGGGCACCAGCTGGAACTCCAGCCTCTGCAGCAGCTTGGCCATGACCACCTTCACCTCCATCTGTGCACACAGGGGCAGGGAGAGCACAAGTCAGTGAGTGCAGAGTCAAAGAAGCCGGGGAACAGCAGCCAGTGATGGGGCCGGCAGGCCCCTGCCCCAGCCCAAGGGCCCAAGCAGGGCTCCAACGAGCTTTCTGGCCCAGGACACCACCCTTGCAGTCACTCCTGGGCAGAACACCCAGCCCTGGCCTCCTACCTGAGCAAACTGCTGCCCAATGCAGGAGCGGGGCCCCAGCGAGAAAGGGAAGTAGGTGAACTTGGCTCTGCAGGGAGAGAGGCGTTAGGCGGAGACGGCCGACCACCCAGTGAGGACAAAACCATCCCTCCTGCTGACTGGCTTCGGGTCAGGCTGGTTTTAGTACACACCAAAACCATCAACCACAGCTCTGCTAAGTTCAGCATGAGCATTTTCTCATTTTATCCTCCTGTGGAAACTTCCAGAAGGAGCTGTTCTCTCTCCATTTTACAGGCGGAGGACCTGAGGCTCAGAGAGGCAAAGCAACTCGCCCAAGGTCCCACGTGCACCTCTAGGCAGAGTGCGGGTCTGGGCTCAGGCCGGTCGCCTGTCGCTGGAGCTGGCTCCTCCACCGCTGCTCCAGTCTTCCCACTTTCACTGCCACAGAATCCTCTGGGGGAGCCACTGCATTCCCATCTCTCAGATGTAATCATCAAGGCCAGGTGAGGTGCAGCTGCTTGCCAGTCACAGGGCTCCCCACTATAAGGGTCTGGTTACCAGCACAGGCTTCAAAACCAGTGTGAGCTGGGCCCAAAACCCAGCTCTGCAGCTTACCAGCTGTGTGCCCTTGGGCAAGTTACTTAACCTCTCTGAGCTATGGTTTCCTCCCTGGTGAAAGGGAACACAGTAGGGATCCCTACTGCCCCCAGACACCTGGACAGCCACACAGGCTCAGTGGGCATAGGCAGCTCAGACCAGAGGCCTCTGGGACCGACCTCCCTCCAACAGGCCCCCACTCATGGGCAGCTTGAAGAGGGACTTACTTGGGTGCCTTAGGGCTGAAGCGATCCGGGTTGAAAGTCAGCGGGTCCTCAAAGTACGTGTCCATCCGCCCCATGACGTAGGTGCTAAACTGCCGGGCAGATCATCTGCTTGTCTCTGCTTCCAAGGATTGGCACCCTCACTCCTCCCCCGACCACTGCAGCCACTCAGAGCAGAGTAGACCCCCTACTCCACCCACCCATCTCCCACCCATCTGGCCAAGGGTAGGATTCTTCTGGTTCCTGGAAAGTCTCTAAAAGGAAGAAAGGGGACAGCGCAGTATGCTGATAATGACCAGCAGGATATGCTACAGCGTCCCATGTTTGGTCTCACCTGTTGGGGAGCTACAATTATTCCCAATTAACAGATGAGGAAACCGAGGCTCAGAAGGAGACTTGCCTGAAGTCAGTTGGCAAGTAAGTGGCCAAACTGAGATTCAAACTTGGGTCTGCTGCAAGGCCATGCTTTTCTCTAGTTCCCTGAGAGCTATTATTATCCAAAGTTTCTCTTTAACACAAGGCTTGCTTCAGTTGGGGTGGGATGGGGGAGCTGCAGACCCCACTAGCCTTCCCCTGCATGCCATGGTGCACCTGAGTGTGTTAATCATGCCCCAAGCCCCCAGGGGCCATATACATGCCCCCCATAACTTGGGCGCTGTGAGCTCTGCCTCTGTACTGCTGCACTAGGTGCCCCCCTGGGTGCCCTGTGCCCTGGTTCTGGCCGCAGTCTGTGGTGCCTTGTTACAGCAGCCCAGCAGACTCACACAGATCCCTACCTCACACCATATACAATCAATTCCAGATTGATAAGAACTTCACCTTCTAAAGAAAAATGTAAAAGTGTTAGAAGACAATGTAAAAGAACATACTGACCCTCAGGATGGGGAAGGATTTCTTAAAACAAAACAAGAGAACCTACCACTAAAAAAAATTAAGAACTTCAGATCATTTAAAAGAAGCCTTAACAAAGAAGGCCACAGATCTGGAGATGACATTTGCATACACATACCAGGCCAAGGATCAATATATGAATTCTTAAAGAGAGCTCTATGTAGCAATAAGGAAAGATAAGCAGTCCAAGAGAGGGACATGAACATCTCACAGAAAGGGAGAAGCCACATAGGGCTGCTCAAGCTCAGTGGTGATCAGGAATGTGCCAATCAAGACCACAGTGAAATACTTTCCTTGCATTCATTTGATTGGCAAAAAGCGAGAAATCAGACCATACTAAGTGTTGGGGAGGAAAAGGAACAGCAGACTCTATCTTACACCACTAGTGGCCATCATATTTGGCAGAGCCACTTGGGGAAACAGTGTGCACTAGTTTATAAAGTTGAGCATTCCTGTGTCCCCCAACTCCCTTCCCATCCCATTTGCACATTGCACCAGGACACGTGGACAGGAAGGCTCACAGAGCAGTGGTGCTCATGCCAGCAACAAGCCAGGAACCCTCACGTGCCCATTGACTTCAGGATTGATACACAGTGGTGGTCTATTTACAGAGCAGAATATTATCCAGCAGTGAAGATGGACAGCCTACAGCCACGTGTGGAGACCTACACAAGCCTCAGTGGACCTTACACTGAGTCACCAAGCAAGTCCTGGAACCATCACTATGTGTAACCCCCACACACTAAGAAAAGGCGAGAAAATGCCAAGCACAAAATACAGGAGACTGATTATTTCTGGAAGGAAGCAGCAAGCGACACATATGTAGGGATTCCATTCTAGCTCTGGGGTTGGGGGATGTCCTTGTGCAGGAATGGATGCCTGAACAAGTGAGTAAATGGGGAGTTAACAAATAAATGAAATGTAAAGGAGAGTGGGGAACAGTCAGCCCCAAAGGGAGAAGGGGTGTAGAGCAGGGAGATAGAGGGAGCAGGACAAGCTGGGGTCAGCCGTGACTCTAGACACGTTCTGGATCTGCCCCTTGCTGGCTGTGTGACCTCAGGAAAGTGACCCAACCTTTCTGAGCTTCGGCAGCCTCAAATGTAAATGCGGCATTTCCCTTCCAGAATCATCCACTGTAATCTTCACTGGACAGTGAGCAGGGTACGTGGTCACCCTGAGACTTGACAGAAACCACAGGGAAGCCAGAGGGGATAACCAGGCCACAGACTTCCTGGGTCTCAGAAGAGCGCCCCCCGTTGGCCACTCTGGGGGCAGAAGGAGGGTCCCACACACCAGGAGCGGGGTGTTGCCAGGGACTCTGACCCCATCAATCAAGGTCTCCTCCTCCAGCCGACGAAAGGTGCCCCATGCTGGCGGGTACAGCCTCAGAGACTCTTTGAGGACCTACAGAAGCCACATGAGATAACAGGAGAGTCAGGGGACCCCACAGCCATGCCAGCAGCGTGTCCCAGACCCAACCCACCTGCTCCCACTCAACATGCTGAGTGCGTACCCTTGTACAGCACTGGGCCCCAGAACCCTGCAAAGTTAGCTTCACCTTTGTCCAAGCCGTCACGGAACAGAAAACGAAACTGAGCCCCAGGAGGAGTTGTGCACAGCCACAGCAGCAGAGCCTGGACAGGACGCAGGCTTCCCTCCGATCCAGGCTGCCCACCACCCCAGAGGGCCCCCAACAGCTCAAGCAGGGCCCCCTGCTATGCCTTGACAGCCAGGGGCGGGGTCTGCTGAGCCTGGCTCCCTCGGGGGAAGCTGAAGGCTTGTGCACCTGGTCTGGCTGGAAAGGGCAAACCCGGCACATTCCCTCGAGGGCTGGTCACCAACCCAGGCTGCACGTTGGCATTGCCTGCGAAGCCTTTCCACGCTGCTGCCTGGGTCCCGCCCCCTGCGACTCCCATGTCATTGGTCTGGGAGCTGCCTGGGTATGGGAAACTCTTTTGGTCTCCCAGGGGATTCCCCTCCTGTGCGGTGGAGTTAGGGACCCCCTGTACCAAAGGGTTCAGCGAGGCAGCAGGCTGGACTCCATGAATCACCCACATCTGCCCAGAAGCTCCTCTCCCATCCCCATACCTGGGACAGGTACTGCAGCCTCCCCAGGTCCTCGTAGTCAAGGTGCCTCTTAGAACCGATGACCTCGTCCACCTCGGCCTGCAGCCTGTCAGGCCAAAGAGAGATTGTCCCCACATTAGTTCTAAGAAGGGGAGCTGGAAGGTAGCATGAGGAGAGGTCTGGGGTTCGCCACCTGCATACCCTGCCCACCCCACTGTTGACAGCATCCAGGAACAGCCATGTCTGAACCAAGATGCCCAAGCAGGTGGGAATTAGGTTCTAGGCCCTTACATTTACCCTTTGTGTTTGCTGCTTGGAATTGGCTGCAGGAAATAAAATGAGGTCTTTGCACAAAGATGCCTAACAGCCTATTTCCCAGCAGCCAATAGCTAGACCAGCAGAATGAACAGTGTGGGAGCACTGGTAGAATAAAACCCTAAGGCCTGCACTGTTGGAATAATATGCAGCACTAAAAGCAGATTTAGACCACTTCACACCATTAAGAGGGCCACTAGCAAAAGAATAAGTGTTGGTGAGAATGTGGAGAAATCAGAACCCTTGTGCATGGCTGGTGGGAATGTGAATGGTGTAGGTGCATGTGGACAGTGGTATGGCAGCTCCTCAAAAACTTTAGACATAGAATTGCCGTAAGATCTAGCAGTTCTACTTCTGGGTACACACCCAAAAGAACTGAAAGCAGGGGCTCAGATAGGTATTTCTACACCCATGTTCATAGCAGCGTGATTCAGAGCACCAAAGGCGGAAGCCACCCAAGCATCCATTGGCAGATGAGTGGATAAACAAGACACGGTGCATCCACGCCATGGAATGTTATTTGGTCCTAAAAAGGAAGGAGATTCTGTCCCAGGCTACCATGAGGATGAACCTCGAGGACGTTATGCTCAGTGAAAGAGGCCAAACATAAAGGGACAAATACTGCATGATTCTGCTGCTTTGAGGTAAGGACAGCGGTCAGATTCACAGCCACGGGAGGGAGAATGGAGGTGCCAGGGGTCGGGGGTCAGGGATAGGGAGTTAGTGCTTATCACTGTTTTAGTTTGGAATGTCAAAGATGGATGGCGGTCATGGTTCTACACAGTGTGACTGTGTCTGATGCTGCCGAACTGTACACGGAAAAATAGTTAAAATGGTAAATTTTAACATACATACATATATATATATCTGCAATATTTTTTAAAACACTGGATTTGGTTATAATAGTGTGGGGTGATGTGATGACCCACATGATGAAAGTCCATAGTTGATCATGAGCTGCCTCCAGATCGTCGGAGGCGCCGTGGGCAGGGCTGTTGTTATTAGGATTATTGTAACTTTTCTGCTTTTTCCAAATTTTTAGATAGAGCGTATTTCTATTACATATATTTAAAACCCACTAAGCCATCATACACTCTCAAGCAAGCATTCACGTCTGCCCTTTTATGCTGGTGACGGTGACAGCTGTAATTGAAGGCCTGCACCACATACCCCACCCCCAGCTCCCCCCAGCCCAACCCACACCCTCGGGCTGGTTGCGTTTTCAGTGCTTTTACACTTGACTCAATGAGTCTGTGCAACAGTCCTCGAGGGACCCTGTTTGTCTTTAAGGAAACCAATGGTGCAGCTCAAGTGCCATCTCCCGGGTGCCCTCCTTTGTCTTGCCAGCTGCAACCGCGCCCTTAGCACTGCAGCTGGCATTCTGTCAAGTCCTCAGTGCCAGCCCCTGGCGAGGTGCTGAGGACACCACAAGGAGGGCAAAAGCCACAGTTACTGCTCTTGGAGCTTCTGGTTTCATGACTGAAATAGACTTAAGGCAAACGGTCTCGGGAGAAAACGCGTTCATGAGCTAAGAGATGGCTAGGAGGGGAAAACTCAGAATGACTGCTGTAGGGGTCTAAGAAGGCTTCTGGGGAGGAGGGCGAGGACTTGTTCTCCAGGAGAGAGGTAGGGAGAGGAACTTCCAGAAGAGGGAACAGCATGTGCAAAGGCCCTGGGGTGATGAAAAGCAGGACACATGGGCAGAGGCTCAGCCACAGAACATAGGAGCAGGTGGTCTTCTAGGAAGAAGAACTCAGACAAACCCCTTCACCAGCCTCAAGGGAAGCACCCCCCACCCCTCTCTCTGTAACCCCCTTCTCCCTCTCTGTACCTGGCCAAGATCTCAGGCTGGCGAGACAGCTCCATCACTGTGAATGCCAAGTGATTGGCAGAGGTCTCGTGACCTGCGGGACAGGACGACAGTGGCAGCTCCACGTGGGACCACGGGGCTGCTCTGGCCCAGCCCGCCCACCTCTGAGACCCCAAGCTCCTGGTTCAGTCCAGACCCTCACTGCTTCCCCTGGGACTGAGCTGGTTAGTCAATCAAATGGCACTTGCCCTCATGCATCCAGTTTTTCTACAGCCAGGGGACCCCACAGGAAAGAGTCTGGGGGACAGTGGGGAGCAGACGCAGCCGGAAGTTTCGGGCTGGCCCTGGCTCTGCACTGTGATTCAGCTGTGACCACAAATAAGTGTATCACTTAATGCATGTGAGATGTGTGGGCAGACAGGAGCCTGGAGCCCCAGGGAGAGCTCCTAACTGGGGCCCGGCACAGCCTGGGCCATCGCTGAGTGCTTCCCCAAGGCAGAGGTAGGGACAGCTGAGGCTGAGGAGGAGTCTTCTAAGTGAGGAAAGATGTTCAAGAAGTACTTGATGAGCAAACGAATGCAGTCACTTAGCACATCTTTTTGGCTTAGTCTAATGAAGCCCTTCCCAAAAATTCTGAGTGAGGCGGAGGTTTGATTCACATAGCCAAGCTCTGCTGAGCTCAAAAAGGCAGCTCCCCAAAACCTTGCAACTGCCAGCTCCATTACCAGGTCACAGAGACCACCAAGAGGGCCTCCTGGGCCTCCCCAAGCCGAGGGGGAGGGCTTCCCCCCTCATACCAGCCCCTTGATTCAGGAGGGAACTCTGCCCAGGCAGCCCCAAACGCATCTCAGAGTCAGGGTTTCCGTGACCAGGTTCCCATCATTTTTGCAGAGCCCTGGGCCGCCAGCCGCTGCTTGCAGTACGAACCTGCGATGAAGAAGGTGACGAAGTTGTCCAGCAGAATCTCATCATCCTGGGCCCCCTCTTCAGCTGAAAGGCGAGGAGAGGATCAAGTCCCTGCAGCAGCCGTCTGCGGCACTCGTGTCCCTGCTCCTTCCCCACAGCTCAGAAAGAACCCAAGTCTTTCTCCTCTCAAGCCACACAGAGACATCTGCCCATCTCTGCCTCCAGGCCCTCCCCCGCCATTGCACCTTTGAGGATCTGTGTGAGGATGTCGGCAGGGACGTCCTCCCCCCTCTTCAGGGCCTCCCGGCGGCGCTGGACCCAGTCCTTGCCGATCTGGCGCAGAGAGCGGACGCTTTCCCGGACCTCACGCAGCTGCTTCCACCTTCCTGGCATAAACTACATAGGAGTTCCAACTCAAGATGGTCAGCGGAAGACACACATTTCCCTTCCCCTCTCGAGCTCAATCCCAAAATGACTTTAGAAGTTATCAGCAACACCAGAAAGCTAGGAGGCCAGAAGAATGCAAGCAAATTCTAGAAAAGATAAAACAGTCAAGGGGACTAGATCATGGTGATCAAGGTCAAGCATCAGCTTCCCCTTACAGCACCAAATCCCTAGAAATGATGAGAAAGATGCCTTAAAACATCTATGTAACACTGGAAAGTGAGAAGGATGGAGGTGGTTAGGATTGCCTCAAAGGAGGAAGCCGCAACCAGAAGGAAGTGAAATGGAATCAAAGGCCAAAACTGGGTGGCATCAGGGACTCTAAGCTTAGAGGCTGATGTTCCAGCAAACAGGAGGGGGCTCTGGGCATCTGTCTGAGAATCAACTCAAGTACCACCTTTCACCTTTCTTCTTCTTTCAAGCCTGGAATAAGGGGGTGATAGCTGGAGCTGCAGCAGCCACCTCATAATAATGAAGATGCGCTGGAGACAGTGGAACAGAAAGACAGAGAAGTCCAGGAACACCTAACACTGTGGAGCCAGCATAGCCATTCCAGATTGCCTGCTTCAGGACCATCTTACACGAGAGAAAGATCAACTCCTAATTTACTTAAACCACTCTGATGTTCAGCTTCTGCTTGATGTGACCTATGCAAATTCTCACTGATCCAGAAGTCACTTCAGACATACCAGAACTCAAACCCCATTCTGATAAAAAATCACAGAAGGAGGTGCTCCAGCAAAGGAGGACAACACAAGTGGTGGCGGCTGGTCACGAGACGGGGTGCTGACGCAGTACCTTAGCCAGGGTGTTGCGAGATGAGGAGATACCCTCCATTATCAGTTTCACTTTCCGGGACAGAGGCGTCTGGGTGCCCAGCAGCATGCTGGTCTCCATCCCAAAAGCTGCCTGTGGAAGAGAGAAGGGCAAGGTCATACCTGGGGGATGGGAGGACGGAAGACCCAGGGCAGAGCCTGACATTGTTCGGCTGGACACCCAAGCCCTGGGTACAGGGTTACGTGCATGATGTCGCTGACTCCTTACAGCCATCCGTGACAGTCCCCACCCCACAGGATGTGCTGAAGGTTATGTAGCACACTGTAGCCACTCAACAAACCTTGGCTTTCTTCCTTGACAAGAAGCATTTCCCCTAAAATGCAGCCTTCTTTGGGTGTCCATTCTATACTCTGCTTCCCAGTGAACTGATGAATGACTGTGACTTCCTGCACTGTGCCTACCCTCCATTGCCTGAATTGCCTTCACCTGGGTGTGGGGTTACCTGGACCACTGCTGAGTCTGCCAGGCTGCAAAGCAAACCCATGGGTACGTGCCAAGGGAGAGGTAGGCTTGGGGCTTGAAGTAAGGCAGACCTGAGGTCCAGTCCTAATTCTGCCCCTGACCAGCCACAGGCTAGTGCCCACACCTCTCAGTGTGTTTCTAGAGAATGGAGTAGCAGCTCCAATCTCACACTAGGTCTTGATTATTCAAGGAGATATGAAGCCCCCAGCCCAGAGGAGGGGCCCCTGAATGCTGTGGAGGAGCAGGAGGCAGGAGAAAAGAAGGCGAGGGCAGAGGGAGAGGAGAAGTGTCCTTGGCCCCACCTGGCAGCCCCGCCACGCCCATCACCTTGGCCACGATGTCCATGGTGGCGCAGGTCAGCATATCCTGCATGGACACCGGGGTCTGCCCATCCGCCTTAGCTTCCAGAATCTCCACCAGTTGCTCAGCTTTCTCATTGAACGTCTCCATCAGGCTGACCAAGGAGCTGGGGAAACAGCACATGGATCGGCAGCCACCAGGACCAGCCCAGGCCTGCAGCCACACTGGCCCCTCCTTTGGATGGACCCAGCGTGCAGAGCGGAGGCAGCGGCTCTTCCCAGCCTTTCTGATCTCCCCTCAAGGCCTGGCTCACAGGGTGGGGTTGCAGTAACCAACCTAAGCCCTGGGGTTGCCCCATTCCACTCAGGGTGGGCACTATCCCTTTGCCCTCGACTTCTGTTCCATGGGGCCTCTGTCTGCAGCTGGGCCCCTCAGCTCTGACCTCCAGGGGACATGGCCGTGTGAAATTCCAGATGGCAGTGAAAAGAAAAGGAATGAAGGTCTCTGGGGCCCCTCAGAGACCATGACAGGGCCACCTGCTTCCCGTCCGAGCCCTCCACCCAGTGCCCACTCTCCTTCCCTGCGCTGCCTGGAGGGCCACCTGCAGCCTGCTCTCTCCTGCTTCACCCCTGCCTCCGAGCCATCACAGGGCCCAACTCCGCACGGAACTGGGTCCTCAGACCCACAGCTCCCAACGCACAGCACCCCCTGCCCCAGGACCGCTACCCCAGCTGGCCTCCCAGGCATAGTGCCTAGAAAGAGAGGATGTGCTTCGAACTCAAAAATGGCAGCCCTCCTTGTCTGGCTTGGATTAATACTTAGTCTACAGGCACACACCTGATCATCTACATTTGCCCTCTTAAGCACTAAATTATGTTTTCTACCTTTATCTTGCATCTACCTACCACTTTAGCATTTTATTTAAAAAAAAATAATAATAATAATAAGGGAGAAATGTGGGATTCACATATAAATCAAGTATAAAGATCAAACGAATAATCATATTTGACCTGATTGTTTATACTTCATGATGTGTGATTAAAACCGAAAGTTTCTGTGATGACTGCCCTTGCACTGTTCACCATGTAAGAACGTATTCACTGTGTAAGACCTTGTTCACCATGTAAGTACTTGTTCGTTATGCTTCAGAAGATTGGAGACTGACGAGAATTAGGCTTGGGGTGGATTAATGATTGTGCATCGAGTCCCCTGTACAGAATTTTATTGTTGTTAACAACCACTTGATCAATAAATATGAGAGATGCTCTCTCAAAAGAAAAAAACAATGGCAGCCCTCGGGGACCGGGAAGAGGGAGACTGCCACTGTGTTCACGACATATTTCTGAGTCTCCAGTAAGAAAACAAGCTGCTTTTGTCATTAAACGTGATTTTTAATGTTAACAATCTGGGTTAAGGGTATAAGGGTGCTCTTTCTCCTATTCTTATTCTTGAAACTTAGGTAAAAATTTGAAATGACTTCCAAATAAGAGCATTTTAAAAACATTAAAAAGGGAAAATGAGAGAAGAGCGGGAGAAAACAGTAACTTTTTAATTAGGAAAGAGAATCAGCTCTTCACTGCCCACCCTCCAGTCCTGCTCCAGCGTGCCTGCAGGCATCTTGCGCTCGCTGCTGCCTAGCCCCTACCCCAGGTCAATAGCATGTCTACTGTCTGTGGCCCAGGCCTGTACTGTAAACACCACTCTGATTCAGTCCCTTGCCAAACTGAAATGCTCTGAAGCAGCCTGTCACTTAGGAAGAAGGCGAAAATCCTTACCTGGACTGGGTGGCAGGGTTTGCCCCCTGTGACTCCCCCCAGCAGCATTGCTTCCTGTTACAATGGCCTTTTAGCTCCTTGAAAACACAGTGTTCCTTCTCTTCTCAGGGCCTTTGCACGTGCTGACCCCTCTGCCTGGAGCTCTCTTCCCTCCCACCCTCCATCCCTATTCCCTGTTATTACCTTAACACCTGCCCACTCTCCAGACGGAGACACAAATGCCACTTCCTCAAGGAAATGTCTCTTAAGCCCCAAGGAAACTCAGTATATGCTTCCATAGCACCCTTGACATTTTCTTCATAACACTTACCTGGTTTGCAAGCATATATTTATTTGTAAGATTATTCATAGTTACCTTTTTTAAAAATCACATTCAAGTTGACTATTTGAATAGTATGTGGCTGTTAGCACACCGGTACTGAATCCCTGACAGCTATCACAGACACACAATGTTGGACTGGAGTGTTAGCAGTACAGTAAAATCTGAACCCCCCTTGTCTTTTGTGGGAATGATTGGGACCAAGATCTTCCAGTAAAAGTAATACCTAGAAAAGCAGAAGCTAGTAATTTACTCTCACAATTTTATTAAAAGTATATAATGATATTCTATGTGAATAATGGTTGGAGATGAAACTCTAAGGGTCCCCTAGTGGTTCCTACTTTTTTCCTCATTAGTGAATTAGGATTCACCAAGGGTCAATAACACTCTTATAAACACACACAACTCCCAAAGCTTCTTTCATACAAGTTTATGAATTTTACATTTTCAATAAAATAGTCGTCTCTTAGATGAATACCTTATTGTGAGATTAAGAAATAAAAACGTGTGATGATGGTTGCACAACAATGTAAATGTACTTAATACCACTAAACCACTAAAAACTGAGCAAGATGGTAAATTTTATGTTATGTGTATCTTACCACAATTAAAAAAATTTTTTTAATACAAATGTTTGTGAAAGCATTTAGTAAAATGTAAAGTGCTGTTCTAACTCAAGGTCCTGTGTACTGGAGAAGGATCACCAAGACAATGCCACTGGTATTTATGTCATGAGTATTGTGGGAAGTCATCTGGTTAGAATCCAAACCTTCATAGACCTGGCTCTTGACATAACAAGTATTTTTTAAATAATGCTTTTTTCTAATCTATTTCTTCTCTTCTCATTCCTGGCAACTTTCCAGTAAGATCAAGACTATTCCAATTCATTATTTCATTCATGTACTCATTTACTCTGAGGACTTCCTGGAGGGCTTGTGAAATGCATGATGCTTTGCTAGGTGCAGGAGTCCAGGGACAGGGTGCATCTTCTGCCTTCAGAGACCTGAGGTCTAGTGAGGAAGGCAGATTGAATGAGAAACAGTGCAGTGGGTGTGACAAGAGCCATGATGGAGGCATGAATTCATCCTTGGACAGTCAAGGGATACCTCGCTGAAGCAGTGATATCTTAGCTGGGTTTCAAAGGAGGCACAGGAATTCCCTGGGGTAGAAGGAATGGCAAGAACACAGGCAGAGCTGCCAGAAAGGTGGAAAAGAGAAGGTGTGAAGGCTGGAGGGGTTTAGGGGCCAGACTGGATGGTGGGAGTGGGGTCTGACCTTCATATTTCAGCTGATACAGAGCCACTGAAGGCTTCAGTACAGGGGAGTGATGTGGTCACATCTGAGTTTTAGCAATATCTCTCCATGGCTGTGAGGTAAACGCATTGGAGGAGAGCAACAAGAGGCAGGAGGTCAGGGCAGAGGCTGTGATGAAAGTCTAGGTAAGCGTGTTTATACTGTCACCTACAAATTACACACACATAGTGGAGGAACCTGGAAGACACCGCCTCAACAAGGCAAGCAAAGTTAGCATCCCCAGCAATGGGACAAATTGCCATGTGCCTCCGGATCTTGTACCCTAAAGAGTACACAACATCACTTCTGTGCCATTCTCTCAAAAAGGTAGAGCCTGAGTGTAACTGTATGGAAATAGACAAACTAAATTGCAGGACTTTCTACAAAAGTGGCCTGCAATCTTAAGATTAAGAAAGTCAAGGGGGGACTAGGACCTGTTCTAGAAACAAGGGAGCAAAAAAGACACAGTAACTAAATGTGACACATGAACCCAGACTGGATCCTAGAAAAGGAAAGAATAGCCAAAATGGCACAAATGACAAAATTTGAATACAGATTGCACATTAGATAATAGTATTGAATTAATATTAAATTTCCTTATTTTGGTAACTGCATTGTAGTCACATAAGAGAATGTCCATATTCTTAGGAAATACACCCAGAAGTATTTAAGAATGAGGTTATAGTGTCTCCAAATGACTCTCAAATGGTTTTAAAAATAAGCACTATATTTAAATATGTAAATATATGTATATGTACATACAGAGAATATACATATAGAGAAGAAATTATAAAACAAATGGTGATCTAAACAATAAAGAATAAGTGGATCTGGGTAAGATATACAGGAGTCCCTTAGGCTATTCTGGAATGTTTTTGTAAATTTGAAATTGTATCGAAATGAAAGATTACCTTCCTCAAAATGTTAAATGTAGAGCTACCATGTGACCCAGCAATTCCAGTCCTATGTAGATACACAAGAGAAATGAAAACATATCCACACAAAAACCTGTACACAAAGGTTCATGGCAGCATTATTCACAAAAGTCAAAAACTGTAAACAACTCACACATCCATCAACTGTGAATGGATAAACAAAAGTGGTATGTCCATTCAATGGAATATTATTTGAGAATTAAAAGAAATGAAGTTCTGAAATATGCTGTTACATGTATGAACCTTGAAAACATTATGCTAGGTGAAAGAAGCCAGGCACACACACAGAATATGATTCCATTTATAATAAATGTCTAGAATATGAAAATTCATAGAGAAAGAAAGTATTTCAGTGGTTGCCAGGAACTGGGGTCATTGAGAGGAAAGGGGGCAGACTGCTTTCTGGGTGATGAAATGTTCTAAAATTGACTGTAAGGATGGTTGTTCAACTTTGTGAGTATACTAAAATCCATTGAATTGTACCCTGTAAATGGGTAAATTGTGTTGTATACAAATTATACCTCAATAAAACAGTTATTTAAAAATAGTTATCCAAAAAGGAAAGCTATAATACATATAATAAAAGCCTAGATGAGGGTTGGTGAGGTCTGAGCCGAGGGAGGTCCTGGGGCCAGGGACCCCCACGTCACCAGGCATGTTGTCACTCAGGCTGCAACATGCACAAACCACGCAAGGGCCTCTCTCAGCCTCAGGTCCGCTGGCTAGCCCGCCTCGCACTCTCTCTGACAAGTGATGCCCTCTCTCCTCTGTCCGCTCAGACTGGATGAGACCCCCTCCAATGAAAACCCTCCTTCCCAAGGTCCGTGATCTGTAGCCACACTCACCTCCGGCTGAAGGCCAGATCCAGGACTCTCCTCTGTTTGTGCCAGTGCTCGTAGTCGCATACAGACACCAAGCCTTGGCCAAACAGCCTGTGGGAGATAGACACCTGATGTGAGGAAAATGGGGAGGAAATGGAGACTGACTGGTGGCTAAGGGGTCATATTTTGGAGTGACGACCATGTTCTGGAACTATACAATGCTGATGGTTGCACCACATCGTGAATGCACCACGAGCCACTGAATTGTAACTGCAGTGTGGTTAAAATGGTATGTGAATTTTACTACAATAAAATAAATAAATAAATAAATAAAGGGATGGTTGTGTAACCCAACCTCAGTGATCCTTGCACTCCCACCTGCCATCCAGAGGGAAAAGAGGAAGAAAGTGCTAAAGACAAGAACAGTGGCCACCATTATGGAGCACCTGCTGTGTGCCCAGAAGCCAGGACCTCAAGCTTCAGTGTTACACCCAGTGCTCTGGGCCCCATGGGCCTTCTACTTGCAGCCGGCCTCCCCCCAGACCCATCTCTGTACCTTACCTCTCACCACACACAGTCTGGATTGCGTGGTACATCTTGGAGTCCTTGTTGTACTTGGTTGACATCAGGAACTTCTAAACATCCCCAAAAGAACAATATGAGATTGTACACCCATGTGAGGGTTCAAAGACTCAGTAGTTTTTTTTGACTGTTATGAAACATGCACTAGATAATCACCATTAATTGAGCCATGGTGTGAACATTTCATATGCATGTTCTCACCTAATCCTCCGGCAGTCCTGTCTTGAAGCAACAGCATCCCACTTGGGGATGAGGAAAGCAGAGCACATTGGGGTGAAGTGATTTTCCTTTGGTCATACAGCTGGTAAGGGGGATTCCTTACTCCAGCACCCACATGGTACCACCTTCCAATGTAGCAAGAGTAAGAAAAGGCAGGTGCTGCTCTGAAACCAGAGTTGGGAGGTGGAGAAGCCCGCAGGGAGGGGCTTCTGGGATACTCAACACAGATGCAGTGTGGTTCGTGCCAACTCGGTCATGGAAGTCAAGGAAGGCTTAAGCCCACAAGCAGCTCTTGAGGCAGTATATCCCACTGGTTAACACATTAGGCTGTGGCGTCAGCTGGCTTGAATTTGAATCCAGGCTTGGCATCCTCACTCCACCACTTGCTAACTGCAGAACCCTTGGAGAGTTACTTATCTCCTCCACCCTCCGGTTTCCTTATCTTACAAGATGGGGATAAAGAGTGCCTGTTTGGTGGGGTTGCTGTGAAGAGTGAATGAGTTCTACATCAAGAGTGCTGAGGACAGTGCCTAGCACACAGCATGTGCTCCATAAATGTGGGATGCACATCAGCATATCCTGTAGCTCATTTATACCCTGTCCACCCTAAGATTGATAAGGAAAATATTCGACACAGCCACCAAGGTCAGCAAACCGCTTTTTTCTCCAGTTGGCAGAGCCCTCCCAGCTCCCCCCTCCCCTCCTCCGGGCTCCCCTTTTGCCCTGCACCTGCCGAAAGGCCACATATCAAAATAATATAAATTGCTCCCCTTGCTTGTGCTCAGGGCTCAGACTTTGGGAGATGACTCCCCTCTGAGCCTGCTGGTGTAAGAATAAGACCTCAACACTCCAAGACCTCTGAGTGCCGCTTGGTCCTCCTGTCAAGGATCCAGTCCAGGTTTTCCAGGATTTTCCATAACATTTGGTTCCGTGACAGGAAACCCAAGCGCGCTGGCCCCTTGTTGCCATCGGTTTGGGGCAAGGCAGGGCAGCGATGGAACAGGAGGTCGCAACGGAGAAGACGCGCCCCGCCTGACCCCTCGGCAGGCTCCCGCCCGGTCGCCCTGGGCCAGCCCCGCTCCGCTGCTCCCGCGGGACTCAGGGAGGCATGACAGGTGAGGACCTGGTTCCAATGTTGAATACGGTAAGGCCCCAGGGCACCTGACCCAGCCAGTTCCCACCTGTTGGGGTGGAAGGGGAGCCTGATCTCCTCTTAGAAGTCTCACAGGTAGACATTCCCAGGGAGTAATGCTTAAACTCTGGTCTGAGTGTGTGAGTGAGCATACAGGGCGGCTGCCATTCAGTCTGCACTGAATCTATGATTCCACGGCCTGCGCTACGGAATCTGAGTGCGCCCTCATCCACATTCGCGGTTGGCCGCCACGACATAACAGTGACTCAGCTTCAGCTGGCCTGGCTCAGGAGTGATAGGGGTGCACCTTAGTCAAGGCTGACCAAAGTCTCTGCAAGGAGCGCGAACGGACGGGCATCTAACTGGTCTCTCTAGAGGAGGCATTCCTTTCTTGTCTATTGTCACGGCACCATCCACGGACACATCACGGGTCAGGGAACAGCAAACCCACAGTTCTTGACACCATGAACAAAAATTTCAGGAATGAATTTACTCTGTAGAAAACCACAGAGTAAAATTAACTCCTGGCAGGTTGAAAACCTTGTGTGAATCCATATAGCCCACCTTTAGTGCAGGATGGCTTCCAGAAGGAACCCTAGATGTCCCAACAATCCGCCAAGTCTGGCGGGTCATCACTAGAGATCCAGGTCAGCCTAATCAGTTCCCACGCATTAACTCCCAGGTAGGAGCTGCCCAGACCCTTCCCCCTCGGGGACAATTCACCCAACAGGCAGGGACAAAGTAGGGTCTTAGTCGCCACAACAAAGCAGCCCACAAAGAATCAACAGAAGCCTGAACCTCCGCAAATTCTTACTGATGATCCAGAGGAAGCGCCAATATTTTCCCTACCTTAGGCATGCCCAAGGCGGACAGCACCCAGTCCCCCCAGTCCCAGACACCTGCCGCTGTCAGCCTTCACACCAGCTCCAGAACCAGCAGACCCACTCTCCCCCGACCAGCAGCCAGACTGTGCCCTTGGCCAGGAGCAGGAACCCTTCAGATGCTGGTGCAAGAGACATGGGAGCCTGAAAGGTGTAGTAAAGACAGGACCACCCAGCCTGGCTGGTTCATGCTTTACTATCAACCCTTCTCCATGACTGACCTCCTCAATTAAAAACACAACACCCTGTCGGAAAAGCCACAGCCCTGGTTGATCTCATGAAATCCCTCTTCCAAACCCATCATCCGACCTGGAAAGACTGCCAACAGCTTCTCCACACCCTGTTCACAAAGGAAGAGAGGAGGCACCCAGGGTCCTTGATTGGGGTGCATGGGCTGAAATTGCTGTCCCCGAGGAGTGCCCCAAGAGGGACTTCACCACCCTTGAGAGGGACAGCACCAGATCTGCCAATATCAGGATGCCCTCCTCCAGGGGATCAAAGCCGGGTCCAAAAAAGCCTATGAACATGACCTAAGTATCTTCAGTCACTCAACAACCAGGAGAGTCTCCCGGGGACTATGACAAAAGACCTTGTGAAGCTCATTGCATCTACACCCCCTTCAGTCCTGAGTCACCAGGGAGCCCACAGATGGTCAGCACCTCACTTGTAGCTCGAGCCGCCCAGACATCAGGCAAATGCTCCAAAAACTTGAAGGCTCTGCTGGGACAAATATCACTCAGCTGATTAAAATTGCCAACAAAGTATATCTAAACAGAGAAGTTCAGGCTGACAGAGAGGCTGAAAGAAAAGAAGAAAAAGGCCAGCTTCCTGGCAGCTGCCCTAAAAGAAAGAGAGATGACCAAAAGGCAGAGAAAAGCTGGCTGCCAAGAAGGGGGATACCTAGGATCCCCCATAGCCAGGGGCACCAGGGTGCTTACAGTGAGGAGAAGGGGCATTGGAAGAATGAATGCCCTAGTGGAGGCAAAGCTCCAGAGCCTGGATGCTGCTGGAGGAGCCCCACGGGGAGAGGTTCACCGCCGGCCTGGCAGGAACAGACTCAGACTGACAGGGACTGGGCTCTCTCATGCTCAGCCCCCAGGAGCCCACGGTCAGAATGAAAGAAGGGGGAAAACATGTGACTTTTATGGTTAACACAGGGGCAGAACACACTGTGGTCACCCTCCCTGTAACTCCCTTCAGTAAAAAGACTGCAACTATTCTCGGAGCCACTGGGACACAGGTAGTCCAGCAACACCTTTGCCAAGCCCATAAATGTGAACTTGGAGGCCACAAGGTCCAACATAAGTTTCTCTACCTGCCCAAGTGCCCCATTCCCCTCTTCAGCTAAGACATACCCTCAAAGCTCAGAGCCTACATGACTTTTGAACCAACTGGGTGCACCAGCCTCAAACTAAACCAAGGCCAAGGAGAGCCAGGGCCACTTGTACTGGGAATAACCACACCCAGGGAAGAGGAGTGGAGGCTATTCTGAGCCCAGACGTGCTCAAGGAGCCCACCTGAATTTAGAGGTGCCTTCCCTTCAGTATGGGCTGAAGACAACCCACCTGGACTTGCTCATAACCAAGCCCCTGTCATTGTAGAACTGACTCTGGGGGCCCAGCCACAGAGACAGCGGCAGTGCCCCCTCTCACAAGAGGCAGGAGCAGGCATCCAGGAACACCTGGTCAGACTCAAAGAGTCAGGCATTCTAATCGAGTGTCAGTCACCCTAGAACACCCCACTTCTACCAGTCAAAAAGCCAGGAGGAGGGAGGGAGGAGCCAAGATGATGGTGAGAGTAGAACAGTGGAAATCTCCTCCAAAAATCATAAATATTTTTGAAAATACAACAAATACAACTATTCCTAAAAGAGAGACCAGAAGATACAGAAAAATAGTCAGCCTACATCTACACCTGCAAGAAACCAGCACCTCATGAAAGGGGTAAGATATAAGTCACGGCCGAGCAAGACTCGAGTGACACCCCTACCCCAGATCCTTGGTGGGAGGAGAGGAGTCAGAGTGGGGAGGGAGTGGGAGCCCAGGACTGCTAAATAGTCCTAGCCATCCGCACTGGAAGCGCAGACACACAGTGTGTGGTGTACTGAATACTAGAGAAAAGGGGCAGTAAAGTCTACAAGTGGGTCCCTGCAGCTGGCGCCCCTGGGACAAAAGAAAAGCAAGATGATTTTTGAAAGCCTTAAAGGGAAATAGGCCTCACAGCTGGATGGAAGCATTCTGGTGCACACAGCCCAGCAGCTGGGAATCC